GTAGAAAAAGCAGCAGCAGGAGTAGTAGTAGTAGTAGTAGTAGTAGTAGTTGTTGTTGTTGTTGTAGTCGTAGTAGTAGTAGTAGTAGTAGTAGTAGTAGTAGTAGTAGTAGTAGAAGTAGTAGTAGCAGTAGTAGCAGTAGTAGCAGTAGTAGCAGTAGTAGCAGTAGCAGTAGCAGTAGCAGTAGCAGTAGTAGTAGTAGTAGTAGTAGTAGTATTTTTTTGGCAGCAGCAGCAGCAGCAGCAGCAGTGGCAGCAGCAGTAGGAGTAGTAGTAGTAGTAGCTGCGGCAGCAGCAGCGTATGTCGGGGCAGTGGCAGTGGTGGTGGTGGTGGTGGTGGTGGTGGTGGTGGTGGTGGTGGTGGTGGCGGTGGTGGTCGTAGTGGTACTGGTACTAGTACTTGTACTATTGCTATTGGTAGTGGTAGTGGCAGTGGCCAAAACAGCAACGCAAAAGACACAAAAGCATTAATACTAACAATACTGATAATTGTGATAGTGCTCATAATAGTGATAACATTAAGAACAAGAACATTATAGCAACTATACTAGTTGCAATAATGGAAAAAGCAGCAACGGGCTTTTCGTGTTTTTCGACGTTTTGTGCTTTTCTACTTTGCATGCGCTGAGCGCAAACTCCGTTTGGGCACGATGCGCAAAAAAATGGCTTATCCCTCAGTGACATGCTCAAAGCCTACTCGTGCATGGGCTGTCCGAGCAACTCGCACTCTGGCTTGAGCCGAACACGGAAACCAAAGACCCTCTTGCCGCTGCACGTCCAAGCCCGATGGAGGTCCGTTGCGCCGCGTTTGTGCGTCAGGCACGAACCGGGAGTGTAAGAGCCCAGCATTAAGAGAGCAGCATGATTCGATGCCTTGGACGGCTTTTCCATGCACTTCGTGCTCTATAATATAACTCGCGGAGAATACAGAAACAGTCTCTTATACATCCTGAGCCCTGACCCGAGGCAGATGTTTTCCAAATCCGTCACGAGCAGCCCTTTTTGACGTCGGTGTGCTGCCCTTCGCACTTCTCGCGGAACGTGAGTTCACGGAAGAATTGTGCAAGCGTCTACGCAAACATTCACTCCAAACGAACGTCGTAGCAACACCTATTCTTTGAGCGAAGACACAGCTTTGCATCTCCCTGGATCTCACTTCTGCATTCTGTCGCTGCAAAGGCTACATGCCGCGTGCAAGGGCACGCGCTGCCGGCTTCTCCGCCAGGAAATGTTCGTCGTCGCGGGATTGGCCAAGGTCTGGCTATGAGTTGGGGAGCGTTGGCTACATAAGGCTAGTTGCGAGTAGAGCAGAAAATGGCTCAACACCAAGCCAAGCGAATCACAGTGCCAAGTCTACCCGTGTCTGCGCTTGGCCTGACTTTTCTTGTCTCCGGTTTCCTGCAAAGCTTACAAACATATTGAGCAATCTGTCTCTGCGCAGTTTTTCCGTTGGCTGCATATGTTGACATGGAACCTCCAGCAGGGAGTGCTGGCACTGCTTAGCATTTGATTCCTCTGCTTGGGTAGTAGCAATGGCAATGCAAACAGCGAGGAACATGTCAGCTATTGTTCGTCCTGAACTTCACGCCGCAAACGTATCCAAGCGCGAAGCCTGTCATGTCTGCCAGAGGCCGGAAGTGGCTTCGCCAGCTGAACGGCCACCACACTCAGATCTTCAACGGACATGGCGGCCGCAGCCAGTGTAGTAAGCCTGCTACTGGCAAATCACGCTTCCGGATTCCTCGTAGCGTATCTTTCTTCCTTCTGCAACAGGTTCTGCAGCCCGGGAATGGGTTCGCCCGAGTCCGGGCATATGGGGCAGGCAAGCTCACATCAGGTAACAGATTTCGGCAGGCCACACTCCCCCAGGTTTCCTTCTTCTCTCGTTCCTCATTTATTTGATAAGATCTTGTTGTAGGAGGGTGGCCGCCTCCGTTCCTGCACAAGCGCACTCCGGTCACCTGTCTTAGCCGGAGATGGTTGTTTGTGGGCTCTTCTATTCTATCTCTCGCTTCTTCAGCACCTGCTCCGAAACTCAACCCCCAAACTGGCCTAGAAACTGAAATGAGCCCGTCGTTAAATCGACAAGCAGCTGCTGGCCCAATTGAGACGTTTGTCGGCAGCAGGCAGCCATTCCGCGACCTCGGAATGCCGGGGCTGAGGACATACGCAGCGACGTGCGGAAGAAGAACCCACACTGCTACGACCGCTAGCGGACGACTAGACACGAGAACACACTTCTTCCATATACCATCGGGTCATCTTTAAGTCGCTCTGGAAGGCTGCAAAGTACCTGTCCACATATGTTTCCATACGGCGACAGAAGATGTGCATCCTGCGAACATTTAAAGAGTAAGCCGCTTCTTCTGCATATTTTTCTCCTGAAACGAGTGGTGACACGGGTCGAGAAGCCCCGACTGTCTTGCAGCCCAGGCCTGAACAGATTCTTAAGCAATCCGTTGCTCGTTCAAACTGCCAGCATTTTAAGGAAAAGGAATCTCTTTCAATTCCGAACGCTCATAGCTAGGTGCCTGGCTTTAGCAAGGAAGCTGTCTCCACTGGCTTGGAGGAGCCTTGAGAAGGCTCGCGGTGTAGACTTGATTCCAACTTGTTATTCAAAACCTCCGTCGGCGTACCCGCAACTTTTTGAACTCAACAGGGAAACCAGGCTAGCTCAACCTCCAGGGTTTCGTTCGGACTTTGACACGGTCTCTGCCTGAACCCGCTGGAGTCAGACATCCTGTTATATCACCTTGTAACCACCATCCAACGCAGAGGTCCAAAGACGTGCCCTGCCTGACAGGTTACCCAACCCCAACCAGCCACACCACAATGCCCGCAGTACCAAATTGATAGTCAACAATGGTGGCAGCCGCAGCAACAGGAACCAGTAACCAACACGCAAGCCGGGCCAGCAGGAAAGACAAAAGACCGACACCAACGCCCGCCATCCAGAGAAGGCACACAAGTAGACGACGATGATGACGACGACGGCGATGACAGCGACGAGCGACGAGGGAATTAGAAGGCTTGAGTTTGAAGCATATTCAGACTCGCTGGTTGAAAATGAAATGGACAAAAGGGCGGTCATTAATCACTCCTGAACACCCAGTACGTGTGGACAGCGTGCGATTTTCCAAAGGTATGCAAGCAAACCTCGTCCAACCCAAATTCCGGCAACAAGAGTATCCACAAGAGCGGTGTGAAGAACTTCTAGAATGGGTGGACCCTCATCACTCATCAAGCCTGAACACTCAATTCGAACGGGAGGCGTGGCACTTTCACCAGACAAACGCCAAACAAAGGGTGCAGTAAACAACCCTTGCCCTTGCAGCGTGTCAGCACCGGAACCACATTCACGTCGCCCTGATTACTTGACTTCAGACTTTCAGCGGTATCGCGCGATGTCCGACCAGATCTTATGTAATCACTCCAAGCACTAACACGGAACAATCTCATCCTACACGCAAGCGCGGCAAGCAAGCAAGTCACGAGGGTGGGCACTGGACTCTCGGGGCTTAGTAATCGGAAGCAAAAATTACTTCGAATTGCTCGTCGCTGTCGTCGCAGTCCCACCAGGCTCCAGCTGTCCAAACACCTAAACCCTCTTCACGCCTGCCCTTTCCAGAGCTTCCTTCTGTGCCGGCGCCTTGCTGGTGCCAGGGAATGCTGACTTGAGGGGGTTGAGGGTGTCCAGTCTCTTGCGGTTGGTCCATGTTTAACACGTAGTCAGAAGAGTAAGCTTGCTAAGGCGAAAGCATCAGTCTCGGAGCCCTGGGCTCTCTGACTTTTGAACTTGGGGTTCGGCTTCGGACTATGTGCCTCACCTGACTAATGGGTGCCTGATACGGGCCGGCACATGAGTAGATTGTTAAGAACTCGATTTCGAATGCAGGGGCCAAGCCGGAGATCAAACAGCTTGCCACGTGCAACGAGTTAGGCCGGAAATCGCCTCCAGGCTGATAGGTCTGCCAGTGTTCTGCATTTGCGGTTGGGTGGAACCAACAAACAGAAGGAGTTGCTCGTCTTTTGGCTTCTGGTTTCCGGTCAACGTCATCCAGCGCCCAAACTAACCAGGACATGCAGAGATGCAGATGCTTGTGCAGAAGCCATTCCTTGGCCAATCGGGTTGACATGCGCTTGGACTACAGAAGTCCAGCTCAATCAAAACATGCCTTGATGCCGAAGCAAAGCCAAAAAGAGCAGAGTATGACGTGCAATGCGGCACGCGCCTCCACAATCTTCGCCTCCTTCTCGTCCTTCTGCAGGCTGCGCCGTTGCTGAATGGCTTTTGCTGTCCACTTCCTGCAAAGCACGTCTTGTCGGAGCCTTTGCCTCCTATCCGCCGTCCGTCCGTGCTTCAAGCTTTTCTACCTCTTTGGCTCTGAAAGCTTACCTCAAAGATCGACCTGCCTTGGACTTGCACAACAGATCCCTATTTTTATATCCTGGCGACGCACCCTTGGGCTGCTGCTGCTCCTCCTCCTCCTGCTACTACTACTACTACTACGACGACGACGACGGCGACGACGACCACGATTACTACGACGACTACGACTACTACGACTACGACTACTACGACGACGACTACTACTATACCACCACCACCACCATCAGCAGCACCACTACTGCTTTGCGTCACATGATTTTATTGTCTCGACTAGTATGACGATGTTGATGAAGACGGAGAAGAAGATTATGATGATAGCGGTGGTGACAGTGATGGTTGCAAAAGCGATGATGTTGATGGTGACGATGATGGTGATGAAGGTGATTCGTCCTGATCCTACTAGTTACGGTAGCGGTAGTAGTCGTCAGTAATAAAGCAGAACAGAGAGCAGAGAGCAAAGCAGAGTAGAGAAGTAGAGCAGCTGTCGCATTAGCAGTGGCAACGGGAGCAAGCAGAATCATCAGCATCGAAAACCGGGGCCCTGAAACTTGTGCCTCTCTTTCAGGATCATCTCCTGGAGCCCTCCGTGCCTCCGGAGGGACAGAGTTCAGGCGTCAGGCTTCGGAACTTCAATGTCCACACTCCCCACAATCTCTCCAGCCAGCCGTGCTCAAACCGAAGCTTCAATAACCCACCACTGCGGGATCGGGACACACACCACCTCAATTGAATGTTCTGGCACTCAAGATGTCCATGTTGTCCACGGGACTGTAAGTACCAAATTCATTGGAGGTTTCGTTCAGAGGGGTACCGTCTACAAAAGAGCAATGTGTGCCCCCCAAATCCACAACTGCTCAAGCTAGGTGCCGAGATGTCCAGAAGCGCAATCCACAGGATCGCTGCCAATTTGGCACTACGTAGGCTCATTCTCTTAAGGTACGAGTTGTTTTGCCTTCAGATTTTTTGGTTTTCTGTTTCCCAAAACAGCTGAGACTATGGCCAGGTGGACATTCTCCTTTAAAATCACATTATTGACACTTTTGCTCACTCCCCGCATCCTGCTATTTACAGCACAAATCTGGTCCCCCAGTCCCATGATTTACACAGGATGCTCGCTGCGTGTGTCTCCCGCTGTGGGCGGTGCATACTTTTCGTCATTTACGGAGGGTTCTGTGTGCTGGAGGCGTGATTCACTGTAAATGAAAAATGAACCGTGAATCGCAAACAGTACTTTGGGGAAACGATGAAGGGTCTTCCTTTACATGCAGGCCAGCGGGTTTAAGGCACTAGCGGTAAAACGTCTTAGGCGCACGTGGTAAAACCCACGTATCTACACTTCACGCAACCAAACCGGAGGGTCTAACATATCTTAAGCACACCCCCTCATTTTGTGATTGAGGTTGATCACATCCCCTCCTTCGGCGATGCCGACTCAGCACAAATCTTAAACGCACCCCTTCATGTGGCGATCCAAGTTGATCACGGATCTTGAGCACGCCCTCCTTCGGCGATGCTGATTCACCACACATCTTAAACACGCCCCCTCATGTGGCGATCGAGGTTCATGACGGTTCTTAAACCACGCCCGTTCCTTGGGCAATCCCGATTCATCGCATAACATAAAAACGCCTCCTCATTTTGGCGGTCCCAGTTGATCACATATCTTAAAACTCGCCCCCTCCTTGGGCGATGCCGATCATCACACCCCCTCCCCCAAGAGGCGATCCCGTTTCATCACACACAACAAAAACCCGCCCCCTCATTTGCCAACCCATGTCGATCACAGAGCTTAAGCATCACATATCTTCGACCTGCCCCCGCCTTTGGCGAGCACGATTTATCATATACCTTAAGCACTCCCTCTCACTAAGCGATCCTATTGATCACATATCTCAAACTCCCTTCCTTCGGCGATCCTGATTCAACCCATATCTTAAACACGTTGCTTCATTTGGCGATCCCGGTTGACCATTATAACACAGCTTCAACTCGCGACCCCCTTTGGCGACCCCGATTCATCACATTTCTTAAGCACTCCCCCTCCTTTGGCGATCCTGGTTGATCACATATCTTAAGCACGCCTCCTCATGGGGCGACGCCGGTTAATCACAGCCGTCACCCGCCCCCTCCTTTGGCAATGCAGGTTGATTACACATCTTAAGCATGAGGCGTACACCGGTTGATCACATTTCTTAAACCCGCCCCCTCATCGCCAAGCGGAAAAGCAGAAAAGCAAATGCAAAAGAAAGAGCAAGCACACGCTGACAAGCAAACAAATGGCAGACGGCAGAAAGAAAGCAGAAAAGCGGAGGAGTAGAAAAGCGAAGCAGACAAGTAGCGAAGCAGAGAATCAGCAAAGCAAAAACACAAACAAACAGAAAACAACAAGCAAGCAAAAGCAAGGAAAAGCAGAGGGCAACACAGGCCAACAAAATCCAAGTGTGGAAAACCAAAAAAATCACAAGATAAAAAAGGAAAAATGAGATCACAAATAGGGCGCCTTCTCTTAAAGTCATAAAGCCTGGGTTAGCTGCAGGTCATGTCCGTGTCACGGAAGGTTATAGTTGCTCTTGCCAACCTCTTGGTGCAAGCTGCCAAGCTCTTCCGCTTGCTGCTCTGAAGCTGGGTAATCTTCTTACAGGCAGAGCGTTTGGACCGTCTCGGAGCACCAACTGCAAGCACTTGATGTGCTGAGAACTCCATCATTTAGGAATGCCACTTAATCAGCGCGCCGGTTGCATGTGTCCTGTAGCCTGGACTCCGACTGACCAATGCGGAGGGTTGGGGATTCGGGTGGAGAACATTTGACAGCCGCTTGATCAGTGGCTCGTTTGCGCAGATTCTATAGCCTGGCCCCCGGCTGATGAACATCAAGGCGTTTTTTTAACGGCCCCTTTTCCCCCCTGCTACCGTCGGAATACCTGGTAGATAAAGCCTAAACCGAGCACTGCAGGCCAGACCATCCTGCATCCACCAGAACCGAAGCAACATCAAGGTCTAGTTTGGGGATTAAGACGGGGACAACTGGACATTGATGAGCGCATACATCCTAGCCTAGAACCCCACTGACCAACATCATTGACAGCCGCGTGATCAGTGGCACGACTGCGTCAACTAGGCTGAACCAAGCGGTCCAACACCGCGGTTCGAGGATAAGGTTAGATACAGGGTCGGCACTTGACAGCCGGTTGATCAGGAGCATAGTTGCTAAAATCAGCGAGGTTCAGGGATTTGGATTTAGACTGAGGGAGGACATGTACAGTAACAGCTCAACAGTGTCGTTAGCATTGTAATCCTACCGACAGGTCAGGTCAGAGTTATAGGTTTAGATGAGGGCGTGCGTTTTCCAGTTCAATGTCGTCGTCCATAACCTCGACCATCATAGTGCATGCGTGCACGTGCGTGCGCGCAGCGCCTGCGGGCGGGCACGGAGGCGCCCGTGCGCAGTCTTGTGCGCGGGTACGGGCGCATGTGCGGGCGCTGGCGCGCATGGCGGACCTGTGCGTGTGCAGGCGGGCGTGGACGCGTGTGGGGTGGGTGGGGGGTGTGGATCTGTGTATGTGGCAGGCCTTTAAGGACGGTCGTCATGAGATTGCGGAGTCTCCCCAGCCAGAAGCCGGCAGACCCCAGACCGCAACAATAGATCCGTGCAAACTCCAGAAGCAGTCGACTGAACTAAAACGGCCACCTCGGGTGCACCCAAATGTCAACCATTGAAGTGGGAGGCGATGACGATGACGGGAAATAAGACAGGCCCGCCGGCTTGAGCTCTACACGTGGCTTCAGGTGAACGTGTTGGAAACATTTAGCCCGACACCCTCAATAAGTATACAGAGTTCATGGCAAGCAGGATCCAGCATGAAGACTGCTCATGCGAACACTCCCTGTGACTCAGATGTCGCGTTTCCCTGCCGAATGTTAACCTGCCTGAGTGCCCACCATCGTTCCTGAAGGCATTGCAAGCGCGATCCCTATTACAAAGCATGGACCTGGATATGTCTCCAATGTGGCTCAAGACCGAAAGCTTCTTCCGCTCACCATGCCGCAAGAGAGACAGTTTGAAGCATACCCCTGTTTGCGATGACTCGAACTATCAACCTATTGTAGCCCAAGTACTACTGTACTTGGATCTTCGCTTCGGCCTGATGCCTTTCTGCAACCCGAGAGTGAAGGGATCCATACTGTAGGCAAGGATGTTCTTGGCTTGCCGGGGGCATGCATGTCTTCTCGACTCAGTCTTCAAACATGATCTCCAAAAGCTTGTAATCCGATTCGCTGGTGCCCTCCCGAAACAGTGTCCCACCAAGAAGTTATCCGGTTTCCCAAATCTACTATGCCTTCGATAGAAATGTGCAGGGTACTGGCGCTAAGGGCGTAGTTTATAAAAACGTATATGCCATACTCGCTTGGGCATTTTTTCCCTCGAGGTACAGCAGCCTGTACACATACCTCCCGGACTGATTTGATATCTTTGAAAGGGGGTCTTCTACGGCACTAAACTGCAAAGAACGCGGCTCTAGGTGAATTTGGAGCCATGGCTGGCCAGATCCTGCCGCAACTAAACTACGTCCTACGTCCACATCAGAGCGAACTAAACAAACCGACTTACTGACTTGCCCCAAAAGTTGAACCTTGCCACTTCTGCGGCGGCCAGCATCGCTCCCACCGCGATGCTTGACATGTAACGGGAAAGGCTGCCAAAGACTCAACAGAGCTCTGTTCCGGGAGGCTATGGGCTATGGGGTTTGGCTCAATCAAACATGCAATGATCTTTGGGCCAGGCTGCCGCACATTTATTGTAGCTCCCGTTAGAATAAACCCGCAAAACTGAACGTTCAGGGCCTGGTTCGGACAAGGTTCGGGCATCGCTGGTCAAACTAGCAACCCGAAGGTCAGGCTTCGAGGTTGAAGGCTCAGAGCCGCTCCTGTGCTCGGTTCAGGACACGGGCTTACTGTGGGGCTCTCAAAGGGGGTAGGCACCCTTCGCCGGTATTTCGAACTAGTTTGGCGACTCACTGATGTCATCTAAGATCTCCTCGTCGTTGATGCCGTTCCTCGCATCTGCAATCAAAGCCAAAGGACCCACGGGGGCTAGGGCGGCTAGGAGACCAGGGGGCAAGGAGAACAAGGGACTATAGTAGGCCGAACCAAGCTTTTTCAAACACACAAGAACAACTGGACCCACCATCACTATCGTATCCTTGAGCTGGCAACCCCGCCGGTCAACCCTTCAACCTGAAATCCTTAAATCAAGCCAGTCGCCCGAAGGCACAAGAGGGCTTACGGATTATGACAACGGATCTCCTCCCAAGACCAAACGCGATAAAAAAAAAGCGAAGCAGGAATCAACAAACGTAACCTCCCAACACCCTGAAGTTTAGGCCTAAGGCCTAATCCTCGAAAAGCAAAGGCCCACGACCTGAACACCCCAGACCGAAGTCGGCGTCAATCCACCACTCCTCAACTTGTGAGACTGTGACATTGACAACTCGTGAATCCCACCCTTGCCGCAGAAGTTCACCCCGTTCCACTCGCGAATCGACTTCCGCCAGTGCTGAACCTCCGATTCCCACTGCCTCGAGACCACGGGGGCTTCAAACATGAGTGGTTTGAGAAGTCCAAGATTCGATGCGTGAAAAGTGACTGGGCCCCCGCCCCTGCTGAAAAATTGACGATGGGTTCACTGCAATGAAATTTCATTTTGGAGGTATGCTGGTTGACGAGCGCCTCTTTACACTCCCACACTCGGACGCAGCCGAATGAACAGTCATCTTACCTGTTCAGACTTTTGTAGCTTTTTCGGGGCTTGGGGCTTTGGACCTGCGGTGGTCGGATGTGGAGAGGCTACAAAGCATGTCGACTCACGCAGAACCTGAGCACCAGCACTCCAAGTGCGTTAAGGCCTGGAGCCGTCATTGCAGTTGGGTGCCCCTGGGCTGGGAACCCAAAGCCGTGCAACTACCAAACTTTCGGTGCGGAGCCCTGCACTATCATCCATACCGGCCCGGCCTCTTGCTGGTTCGCGCGTCGGGATCGGGCGTGTTGGGCTCGTCGGGGTCCTTCGGAGTTGATGGAGATGAGAGGTAGAGCTCAGACTTTTGGAGATGCTGATACGAGGAAAAGTTTGAGGCAGTTGCACCAACACTACAGGAGAAAGGCTCCAAAGCAACAGACCGCCCAGCGGTCCCGACTTCCACGCGGGCAGGCCGAGTTGTAAGCAATGTAGTCCTTACGGATGACGTCGTTCGGCGGCGCTTGGGATGGGAAGGGGTCTCAACGGCATCGTCCGCAGCACTTGGAGGATTGCGAGGGTGAGGCCCTTCTCTAAGATGCCGCTGTAAGCAGCGTCATCTTCACCACAATGCGCATGCTTGATCGTTTACTGTGCACCAGTCGCAGCCCGTTCTAAACCGTTCGCAGCTACAATGCTCACTAGAAGCCAGTAGGCTTTGCAGCACGGGCCTATCCCGAGGCTGTAGGCTCGCAGATGTCCGATTAACTACTTGCTCAAGCCGCCTTGCTCCGCTCCGGGGCTGAAACATGATCTAGCAACCTCGAACGCGATGCGTAAGACTGTCTTACTTCCGGTGAGCTCTTCACTCGTCGCGCAACGGTGGAGGCGGTCGCTTCCACAACATGAAGTATTGATTCCCGAATCAGCCACTCCTGCACGATTGACTCATTGGCAAGACTACGTGTTCCCCCACCACAGCCACGACTTCGTCCTGTATGAGCACTAGCGGGGAGCAAAGCAGCTGTTCAAGCCAACCGCACACGAACAGGAAGTTGCCCATCTACAGTTACTTAAAGTAGTATATCCCACCAAAATATGTGATGCATTTTTTCGCCAACAAGACATTGCCGTTTCAGATGTCGCTTTTGCGGTTGGTCCGCACATGTCACTCTCTCAGCATAGATGTCGTACATGGTAGTGTCGGTGGTGGTGGTGGTGGTGGTGGTGGTGGTGGTGGTGGTGGTGGTAGCGGCGGTGGTGGTGGTGGTGGTGGTGGTGGTGGTGGTGGTGGGGGTGGTGGGGGTGGTGGGGGTGGTGGGGGTGGTGGCGGTGGCGGCGGTGGCGGTCGCGGCGGGAACGGGTGTAATTTTGGGGCGCTGACAATCAGAAGCCTATGGACGTTTGCGGCGACTTGCAAATGATGTCACAGAGTTCCAATACATCGTTCTCGTCGAGTATGGGCTGCACTGATTGCACATTTGCCGCCTGTGGTACTGCTAGCTGCACTGGTGGGAAGCTAGCCGTGTCGAGTGCGCATCAACAAGGCTACATTCGTGATGTGCCTGCTTCCAGAGAGCTCGGGGCAATAAAAGGAGGTCACAAGGGGTGGTCGGGGGGGTACTGGTTACTGCTGGTTACTGAGAAGAAAAGCACAAGCAGCTGATGGCAAACTCGACACGATCTGTCAATTCCTGCCTGATGTATGCCCAGTACTTCAACCGAAGTGTCGGCACGGCGCTTGTGCGAGAGGATCACTGTTCGGCGCTTGTTCCGGCGCTGCACCCAGTCCTGCAGTCAGATGAATGTGGGAAAGGCTCGCAAGCATGTGCTTCACTGGAATCTAGCTGCTGACTCTCATCCCAGGCCCTCTAAAGCCTTGTCCCCAGAACTTGCAAGGATCCCAAGAAGGGAAAGCGGTGAGGCTTATTCTCAGGATTTTGTGTTTGCTGCCTAGCAAGTCATAATGAAGCGGCGTAGATCTCGCAATGCACCGCGGCGACAAGATGAACCAGTAGAGCCTCAAGACCCTCGTCGAAAATCCTACACTATCGAAGCACTACCAGTGCTTGTCGCAATTGAAAGCATGTGGCGAAATCTGGCAAAGGCAGACAATTCTGCTGATAAAACCAAACCCCAAGGTCGTTCATGGCAACAGCCGCCCCTGTAAACCTACGCTTAACTCCAGACGGCGCGTCTTTATCGCGGTGTTCTGGAGAGCTTGTGGAAACACTTCATACAAGATCAAGCATGTCCCTCAAACGTCTAGTCTACTTAGTAGACACTTAATTCTGGCACAATGGGACAAACTCTTCAAGGTTTGACGGATCGAAGCCCGAAGTTAACACATTGCACGAGTTCAACACTAAGCCCCTAAAATCGAAGTCACGACATTCAAAGCCATCACGTGCAGCTGAGCAGTCGCAGCCTGGCTACGTTTTGAAGACCAGCTGACAAAAAGCCAGCAAGTTTCAGGCAGCTTCAAGCATTAACCCGACCACATTGTGGTCGTTGTGGTGTCACACGCAGTTGCGGGAGAAGGACCACGCTCTGAAAACCTTTTGCACCTCGGCTCCTGTGCCAGATCCAATCGCCCTCCGAGCAGATCGGTAAACAACAATGGACACAGCCTGCGATGCAGCCAAGATTAAAGAGGGGACGAGCTCACTGGGAAAATGCTCGGTACAGGCAGCACTAAGAAACTACGACTACTGTCGCCTGAACTACCGGCACTTCAGTGACGTTGTTAGCCGTTACCGTCACGATTTCTGGAGGCATGTCGTGCTGTTGTGGCGAAGTAGCGGGATTCTCCCCTCGTTGCCACACCACGGGGATGTTCAACCCGTTGTTAAACTCCACCCTGCCAGCTTGGAAATCTGTGCTCGTTAACACCGTGCCGATGTAGTCCAAATAGATCTCGTTCTTCGGCCCGCGGTAGAAATGGAAGTGCTCTGTGCTCGGCTCGTTGGGCTTCTCACCCTCCCATGTAAATTTTGTGCCACCGGACAAGGTGTAGTGGTCATCTTGCACATGCGCGGTCGTGTACATGATACCAGCGGCCCATTCCCCCTGCCTCCTGGGGAACTATCTTCCAGCTGCCTGCCAAGTTCCTCAACAGCTCCTGTGCCTCTTCCTCGGGAAGTGGCACGGAGCCGAGAGGTATGCCGCGGCAAAAAGGGTCGGGGCCAAATGGGTTTTTCTGAAGGCATTTGCAGCCACACGGTGGTGGGCGTTGTTCCTCCAACCACTTCAGTATCTCAGGGTGAGTCGGCATTCTCTTGGAGAACGGCTTCTCCGACCACACAGGCTCCGTGATGTAGTCCATGGCAGCAGCTTTTGATATCGATTGCCTGCACGTGAGGACTAGGGGGTTGCTGCAGTGCATCTAGTTTCTAGTTTCGGACCTCGTAAGTTCCACCCATCTGATGGCAAGTGCTCTGCTTGTTGGGGATGCCCTTAGCCCGGAAGCTGAACTTCGCACAGGCAAAAGGTGGAAACTCTCACTGCCGATTCTCAATCGGAGATAAACCTGCCGACAGGCACTGTCTTTTAAGGCATGGGCTGAACAACTGATCAGCTTCGACTTAATTCTGAAAAACCAAACCAAACCGTCGGTCCTCCTCACTTAACTGTGCTTGGTTCTGCTGCGCCGCACCTTGCTCCTCCACGGCCGACCATTCAGTGGACAGGGTGGGGAATCCTTTTTGCAAACTCTTTTGCAGAGGGCAGGTTTGGGACTTAAGTGGTTGCTACAGAAGGAGTAGGCAAACCGACGGCGGAGACTGCAGCAAAACACCAGCAACAAACGACCTGTGTGCTGGACCCTTTGGGCCTCCTCTCGTGGTACGGAGTTCCGACCACGTGGACGGTGGCGCTTGGTCGCTGGACTTGACTGAGCGGTACCACCTGCAAAAGTCGGATCATCTGGTGGCTTCCTATCAAGTATACATTCAGTTCTCGTTGAAACAAACTCGAATCTTCTCGACTGCATGAGCATGGGGAGGTAACAATGACAGCGGAGGCGCGGCGCTGGTGATGGCGATTGCGGCAGCTGCAAGCTGCAGGAGCATGCGGGGAGAGGCTCCGCAGCTGGTGGGTGGGTGGGTGGATGGGCGAGTGAGCGGGTGGG